GTGTATACAAATAATGAACATAAAATTACGTGCTCGTGGACTGATAAAAGTGACATGCTAAGGTGTAGGCATGTGCGAGGTGTACTACCATAGCTCAGATTAGGTTAATACGCCACAAAATAGCTATTATTATGTTTGAATAGGATATTAGACTACATATATTCTTTAACATGATTCAAGTAGCTCACAAAGGGTTAAAAACATAAGAAGCATGATAGCAAGAAGCTTAACATTCAATTCAAGGCATATATTAGCCTAGGCACTACCCGTACATGGATAAAAACCCGGTGCATGCACACACGCTCATACCCCGCATGTATATCACCTTGGCACGTGGCCATCATCAATATTTCAAGAAAGCATGCCTCAAATCAGGCTAGGCAAGATACTTACCTCAAACAAGCCAAATCTATATTCTAGACATCAAATGCTATGCACAGAATAACACAAACCTCACACACATATGACACAGAACTCACTCAAGATTAGATTATCAAGACACTCTAGTCAAAGCAGTTAAGCAAAGTTATGATCATACAATTTAAGGTACTTAACAAGAGTCAAAAATTGAGCCTAAGCATCACAACTAAAGCACTCACCATTCTCAAGGCATAATAAAGTCAAGAGATATTGCTTCCAATTCAATCATAGCACAAGGTTTCCTATTTCTAACAAAAAACAAAAACTAACAACACCGGTTCCAACAAAATCCTGGGAAAAGAATCGCTACACAAAGAGAAACCAAGGGGGATTATTACACTACCTACAAAAGAAAATCTTTTTTTGTCTTTTCTTTTCGACTTTAATCCATCAAGAAACCTATCGATGATATCCGTCATCGGGAAAAGTCGAAAATTTTAATTTTTTTTATGTTTTTTCAAAAAAAGTTCTATCTCTAACTACTCAAACTAATAAAATTAAAACTAAAACTAATATACATAAAACATACAAATATCCCCTACCCCGCACTTTAAGTTGTGGCATGTTCGCACGACACACAATTAAAAAGCATTAGATAAAGGAAACTTCCATGAATATCTAGTCGAGGTCTGAGTCGAAGTCAGGCTCCATTCCTCGGGCCCGAAATCGTGCACACATCCATGCAGACAACTTCTTCTCAGCTTTCTTGGGGTACACCCCCACACTTATCTTTCTCACTCACTGGAGCCTTCTATTTTGACTCCTTCACTTTCCATTCAACGTTTGTAGCTGACTTCTCCTTCTTCACCCCCGTTGCTAGATTCATCTGAAAAGTCACATTCTCCTCCCCCACTCTAAGCCTGAGTTTTCTCTCGTGTATATCTAATATCGCTCCACCCTTAGTTAAGAATGGTCTTACTAGGATGAGTGAGACCTCCTTGTTCTCCTCCATCTGCACCACTATAAAATCTACAGGAAATACGAACTTATCCACCCGAACTAACACATCTTCCACTATCCCCTCGGGTGTTATAGTCGTTTGGTCTACCAACTGCAAAGATATTGGCAACTACCTTATCTCTCCAATTTCCTTCTCTAGCTTCCTGTAAATAGATAAAGGCATTAAGTTAATTGAGGTACCAGAATCACATAAAGACTTATCAAAATTTATAGTTCCTAGTAAACAATGTATAGTAAAACTCCCCGGATCCCCATACTTTTATGAGAGTTTGTTTTGCAATATTGCACTGCAATGCTATGTGATCTTGACCATTGAGGTCTCTTCTATCTTCCTCTTCTTTGTAAGGATCTCCTTCAAGAACTTGGAATAAGATGACATTTGTGAGAGCACTTCTGTGAATGGTAAGTTTATGTTAACCTATTTAATCATATCCAAAAATCTCTCAAACTGCTTGTCCATCTTTTATCTATATAGCTTTTGGGGAAAAGGTTGAGCAAGCATATGCTTGCTCTCATTCGATTGCTCCCCTCTTGATGTTTACTCCTTCTTCTTTTTGTCAGTTCCCTTCTTGCCATTCTTCTTCTTATCAACTTCAATTTTCAGCCGCTCCCCACTTTCTTTTTCAGGTATCACCTCTTTTTGGATTGGAGTGGGATCTTTCAACACTTGCCCGCTTCTCAAGGTCACAACATTTACCATTTTTTAGGATTTCTCTCAGTATCAACAGGGAGAGTTCCTGGGACCCTCTCAGGTAATATTGTTCCAATTTGTCTCACTTGCTTCTCTAGATTTCGAATTGCTGACCCATGAGTATCCAACCTCTCACCTGTCTTGACAATGAAGGCCTTCATTAGATATTCTAGACTAGGCTGATTGGATTGTTGAGGCTAAAATTGCAGCCTCGACTGATTCACAAAACCTAGAGCTCCTTGTCCTTGAAATATACGGTTGTTTTGTCGCCATGCATTTGCGGTACCCCCAGGTGAACTCCATGAAAAACTGGGGTATTTCTGGCCCATTGCATTAAAGTTATAGTTTCCCCACAGCATTCATTTCCTCAACTATGGCTTGAAACTCATGAGTAGGGTGTCTTCTTCCACATATATCACATGATGCATGAGGCTCACTTTGAATTGTAGCCAAGCTCAGCTTCTTTATTTCCTTAGCAATTGCATCAAGTTGGACCTTCGCAGATGTATTAGAATCAAATTGGTGAGCACCAGTTGATCTTCTTCTTTCAGTACTCTTAGTGGGCCACTAATTTGCATCTTCAGATAACTCATCTAGAATTATGACTATCTCCTCTAGAGTCTTTTTCATCAACGGGCCTCCAGCTGCATTACTCAATATTCTATGTGAGGCCTGTGTCAATCCATCCCAAAAGTCCTGGAGTTGCATCCAGAGTTCAATTCCACTATGTTGACACTTCCTGACAATCTCCTTAAACCTCTCCCAAGCTTCAAAAATAGTTTCAGTCTCTTTCTGGCAGAAGTTATGGATTTCTCTCCTGAACTTACCCGTCTTAACTGATGAGAAATATTTATCAAGAAATTTTTTGTTCATCTCATCCCTTGTTCTAATTGATCCATTAGGCAAGCTTCGAATCCACTGCTTTGCATCATCTTTGAGTGTGAAGGGGAATGCCCTTAAGTAACCGCATCTTGTGACACACCATTGTATTGAATGGTGTTCATAATCTCCTCGAAGTCCATTAGATGGTTGTTTGGATCTTCATTTGGCTTTCCTCTGAAGACACCAATTCTGAAGGGCTTGAAGCAACCCGTGCTTCAACTCGAAATTGTTTGCTACAATTGGGGATGGTCTCACTTGATGATAATCTCCAAGTGGTGTCCCTAGATCGGGAGGTATATTTCCGAACTAGTCTGGAACGAATGGTTGATTCTGAGAAATTCTCCGAGCTCTATCCTCTTCATAGATAATCTGTGCATCCCTAATAGCTGCTTTCTCAGCATCCCGTGCAACTTTTTCTCTTTGCTGGGCTGCTTCTTTTGCAGCCAAATCTACATTATCATAATCTTCTTCCATAGTTTCTTTGGGTTAGGACTGCCCAACCTTCTCTAAAGTCTCAGTGAGATTTGTTTCCTTCATTAACTCTCACAGTTGTTCTTCGATCTCTGGTTCGTATGGTAGCTTTTCTTTCCCAGAAGATCGAGTCATGTACCACTCTTACTTGTAACCTACAGACAATCCAAGAACACCATCCGTAAAAAGAGAAAAATAAAATAACAAAAAAAAATTCCTGAATTAGCACTACAAACTATTTCAAACACTATTGATTGCCAATCCCCGACAATGGTGCCAAAACTTGAAGGGCACAAAACACACACTTAAATATGCTCGCTAGTCGAATATAGTATAACATAATATCGTATCCATAGGTACTGGAGTTAAACAATATTGTATATGGTACAATTGGAGGGTCTAATTTTCCATCATTATGATTTCTCGTAAGCATATGTCACAAGGTTCGAGGCTAGGGTCGAGGTTCATCCTCGAGGGCTGTTGATGCTCGACCTCGGGGCGATGCGGACCAATGACTATGATGGAAAAGTGGGGAGTTCCCAAGGCACACAACTAGGGCTGACATTGTCTAGTGAGCTAAGTTCAGACCTGAATCATGGCGTCAACTAGATGTCCCATCCCCATATCTTTGTAATAAATGCACTTGTACTATGTTGGGATTCCCCCTCACATATAAGGGGGACCCTTGGCATTTTGTAAATATCTGTTTCTCCATACTAAATACACAAGAACATTCTCTTTGCTCTCTAACACATTCTCTTGATTTCTTTATTCCATTTATTGCTTACATTCATTGTTCATTGTTTATTGCTTATTATTGGCCATAAAGAGCCGTTGTTGAATTTATCCTAACTGTTAATCGCCCATCGATTAACCCTGATAGCTCCCAGCCGAGCATCAGAATCGACCCCGAGGCCCCCGAATCGACAAGCTCGAGGCCCCGATTGTTAACTTTTCGGTCTGGTTATCACCTTGCTCTCAAGCTCTTATCTCGTTTCTAAGTCTTTCACATCGCATCAACTACCTTACAACTAGCATAAAAATAGATCACGTATTTTTAGAACCACTAAATCAAATTTAGTTGTTATTACCATTTTCACGGTAAACAGTTTGGCGCCCACCATGGGGCTAGAAATAATAGTGATTTTTCTTGCAGGTTTTACTACACAACGCAAGTTATCTTTCACACTTTTTCTTGTCCAAGATCTTTGATTTCAGGTCAAAATGCCTAAACCGATAAGTGTGCCTGAAAACAACAGCCTCAAAAACTATGGGGAAGGGCGGTACGGTTATTTTAGGTATGGGTGTGCCACCATGAAACCCTAAGAACACACTAGAGCCGATTCCCAATGGTACGACCTCGTGCAACGCCGAAGGCATTAACGCCGGTCCTCACATTAACTAGGAAGCGCGCCGAGATATTCAGCGGGAAACTCGAAAACATCCAACCTGGGCAAAAAGAGAGATTCCTCGGCATGACGTTCATATGATTATCGGGGTGAACGACATTCCCCAAGGACCCGTGATCAAATAGATAAAAATATCCGCTGCAATAGAGGGGCCGATCCGAGACCACATGACCGAAGATATCCTCGCATTCAGCGATGGGGATCTCGAGACCTTGGAAGAATCACACAATGACGTGCTGGTAATCTTATTTCTTTTAAGAAACATTCAAATTAAACGTGTGCTCGTGGATCCAGGCAGCTCGGCCAACGTAATCAGGTCAAAGGTAGTAGAACAACTTGGGTTGCTCGATCAAATCGTAACTGCCTCCCGAGACCTCCATGGATTCAACATGGCCGGCAAAATAACAAAAGGAGAGATCGTCCTCCTGGTTGACATGTTCGGTACAGTTCAGAATACCAAGTTTCACGTCATCGTTGGTGACATGAGGTACAACACATTGCTTGGCAGGCCATGGATATACAACATGAGGGCGGTGCCGTCAACGCTACACCAGATGATAAAATTTCCTACAAAAGATGGCATACCAACCATATATGGAGAACAACATACGGCAAAGGAAATGTTTGCAGTTTATCAGGAGGCACCGAGCCCCATGCACTCCACCTCGGATGAGTCTAGGAGCATACGGATCCCCGAGGATGATGAAGAAGATTTCCTCGCCCCTCGAACTTTCGTTGCCCTCGAAGAGTCGGATGCAATGAAATCGACAATTGAAGAACTGGAGCAAGCTATTTTGATCGAGCATCTCCTGGATCGGAAGGTATACCTGGGAAAGGGATTACCCCCGAACTCAAGAAAAAACTCATTCAATTCCTTATTAACAACATCAACTATTTCACTTGGTCACATTTAGATATGACAGGAATCCCGCCGGAAATAACCACCCACTGATTGAGTGTCGACCCCAGGTTTAAACCAGTGAAGCAAAAAGAAGACCTTTGTCCGAAGTAAAACACGCATTCATCAAGGGCGATGTCACGAAACTCCTTAAAATAGGGTCTATCAGAGAGGTAATGTATCCCGAATGGCTGGCCAACATAGTGGTAGTGCCCAAAAAAGGAAATAAGTTAAGAATGTGCATAGATTATAAAGATTTAAATAAGGCGTGCCCCAAGTATTCTTTCCCATTTCCTAAGATCGATCGTTTGATCGATGCCATGGCCGGCCATGATACCCTCACCTTTCTCGACGCCTGCTCGGGGTATAACCAAATTCAGATGAACCTCGAGGATAGGGAAAAGACTTCGTTCATCACGAAGTATGGTACCTACTTTACAATGTAATGCCCTTTGGGCTAAAAAATACAGGGGCTATGTACCAACGTCTAGTTAATAAAATGTTCGAGCATCAAATAGGCAAATCTATGGAATTTTATATCGATGACATGCTAGTTAAATCCCTGCATGCATAGGACCATTTGACTCATTTGCAGGAAATATTTGACATCCTCAGAAGTTAAAACATGAAGCTTAACCCCGAGAAATGTGCCTTCTGAGTGAGTTCAGGCAAATTCTTAGGCTTCATGGTATCGAAAAGTTAGATCGAGATCAACTCCAAAAAAATCTAGGCCATCGAAGAAAGAAAGGTGATAAATAATGTAAAGGCCGTGCAATGGCTGACAGGGTGAATAACGACTTTGAGCAGATTCATATCAAGGTCGTCGGACAAGAGTCACTATTTCTTCTCTTTACTCAAAAAGAAAAACAACTTCGAGTGGACTCCAGAATGCCAACACACCTTAGAGGAACTGAAGCGGTATCTGAATAGTCTGCCTTTGCTCCATATGCCAAAATAGAATGAAACGCTGTATCTATACCTAGCCGTATCCGAGATAGCGATAAGCATTGTGCTGGTTCGAGAAGAGCAAGGGTACACAATTTCTTGTTTATTATGTAAGTCAGACCCTAGGGGATGCCGAAACCAGGTATCCGTACCTAGAAAAATTAGCTCTTGTATTAATAAGCGCATCGCAAAAACTGAAACCTTATTTTCAATGCCACCGTATTTGCGTTTTAACAACGTACCCTCTCAGAAGGATATTGCATAAGCCCGAACTATCAGGCTGATTGGACAAATGGGCCATCGAACTTGGGGGGTATAATATCGAGTATCAACCCCAAATGATCATCAAATCCCAAATTCTGGCAGACTTCGTGGCTAACTTCTCACCGTACCTCGTGCTCGAGGTAGAAAAGGAACTCTTACTAAAATGAGGCACATCTTCTGGGGTATGGACCTTGTTCACCGACGATGCCACAGACGTGAGAGGATCTGGGCTCGGTATAGTCCTGAAATTGCCCGTGGGTGGCATAATCAGGCAATCTATAAAAACTGCAAAATTGACAAATAATGAAGCTGAGTATAAGGCTATGATTGCAGGTTAGGAATTGGCCAAAAGCCTGGGAGCTGAGTTCGTCGAAGCAAAATGTGATTCACTCCTGGTAGTAAACCAGGTAAATGGGAGCTACGAGGTCTGAGAAGATAGGATGCAAAGGTATTTGGACAAAATATGAATCACATTATGCCATTTCCAAGAATGAACACTAGTCCACATACCTCGTGAGTAGAACAGCGAGGCTGATGCCCTCGCGAACCTGGGATCATCTATTAAAGAAGATGACCTACTCCCGGGGTTGTTATTCAACTGTCCAAATCAGTGGCCAAGGAAGGTCATGCCGAGATTAATTCTACTAGCCTAACATAGGATTGGAGACATAAATACATTGACTATATGAAAGACGGAAAATTACCCATGGAACCAAAGGAATGGAGGGCCCTGCGAACCAAAGCAGCCCGGTTCTCGCTCGATGAAAACGGGACTCTATACAGAAGAACTTTCGATGGACCTTTAGCAGTATATCTAGGGCTAGGGGATACAGACTATGTACTCCGAGAAATTCACGAGGGTACTTGTGTAAACCACTCCGACACCGATTCTTTAGTCTGAAAGGTGATCAGGGCATGCTACTACTAGGACAACATGGAAAAAGACACTAAGGAATTCGTCCGAAAGTGCGACAAATGTCAGAGATTTGCCCCTATGATTCACCAACCCGGCGAACAGCTACATTCGGTCTTATCGCCATGGCCATTCATGAAATGGGGAATGGACATCGTTGGACCCTTACTAACGGCACCAGGTAAAGCTAAATTCATTTTATTTATGACTGATTATTTCTCAAAATGGATGGAAGTTCAGGCCTTCGAGAAGATAAGAGAAAAAGAAGTCATTGAGTTCATCTAGGATCACATTATGTGTTGATTCATGATTCCTTCAGAGATAACATACGATAATGGGAGGCGGTTCGTCGGAAGCAAAATAACACATTTCCTTGAGGATCACAAAATCAAGAGAATCCTATCGATGTCTTACCACCCGTATGCAAACGGCCAGGCCGAGTCCACAAACAAAACCATCATCCAAAACATGAAAAAGAAGTTGGAAAGCGCTAAGGGAAAATGGAGAGAAATATTGCCCGAAGTGCCATGGGCATACCTAACAACTTCAAAATCAAGCATAGGGGAAACACCTTTCTCTATGGTATATGGTACCGAGGCTTTGATACCAGTGGAGGTCGGGGAGCCAAGCGCCAGATTCCGACACACCACTGAGATCTCGAACAACAAGGCCATGACTACGACCATCGAACTATTAGATAAAAAGCGAGAAGCCTCACTCATCCGAATAGCCGTCCAAAAGCAAAGGATCAAAAGGTATTATAACATGAGAACAAACCTCCAACATCTCGGAATCGGGGACTTGGTCCTAAGGAAAGTCACCCTCAACACCCGAAACCCTAATGAAGGAAAGCTAGGCCAAAATTGGGAAGGACCGTACCGCGTTCTCGGAGTAATAAGCAAAGGGTCCTACAAGCTCGGTACTATGGAAGGCGAGCAACTTCCAAGCAATTGGAACATATCAGTACTGAAATGATACTACTGCTAAGGCATGCGTTGCACTCTTTTCCTTCGACCGGATTTTGTCCCTAGAAGGGTTTTACCTGCAAGGTTTTTAACGAGGCAATATCTATGCTACCTAAGGAAGATCCAACAAGTATTCAAGGCTTCTTTTGCAATCAACCTCAATTACTAGGGGCCATCCCCCCGGAAGGTCACCTACTCGGAGAAGCCAAGATACGCAAAATGGGGGCTCAATAAGAAAGTAATGTACCGGGCCAAACGGTCGAACGAACCTTATCCGCAATAGCAAAATTATATATACTTGCACCAAGTAGTTAAAGAAAAATTCCCAAAAGCATTTTGCATTTCAAGGAAGCTCGACACTTTTGCAAAAAATGGCTCCAAAGCCGAAAGGCACCCCGAACACTCGGCGACTGGCATCAACAACTTGAAACAATGCGACCCCCAGGTTGGAGCTCCTAACTCGTAAGCCTTCAATGAGGCAACATCAAGATCACAAAGTGGTTCGAAAGCCAAAAACATCCCGAACACTCAAGGACTGACGTCGAAAACTCAAGGCTACACGACCCTCGGGTCGGAAACTCCAAAATTGCAAGCCCTCAATGAGGCAATACCAAGTTCACAAGTAATGGCTCCCGAGCCGAGAAACCCTTGATGACTTGGGGATTGCCGTCAATCGCCATCTCCATCGACTTATCAAAACCCGAGGCCATAAGAGCAGATGTGGGCAGTCTCAGTCTCGTAAGTCCTATATAAGGCAACAACAATATCTGTAAGACCTCAAGCAAGGCATGAACCATACTTGTACCAAGTATCTAAAACTGTAAGACCTCAAAGGCATGCAAAACTTGTAAGACCTTACTAAAGGCATAAACCCGATCTTAAAGTTTCGGCTATATATCAAACTTTTATGACCCCTAAAAAGGCATACCTTCGATATAGACGTCGAAACTACTTCATTCGGGACTTAAAGGCTCCAGCCAAACACAAATGACTCCGATCACAAGGCTGTACCAGCCAAACTAACGCAACTCGAGGACGCCCGACCGTCGCTATAAATCACAGGCCTTCAATTACTCCGAATATACTTTGGAAAGAACCGGTTAAATAGGCTGCCCTCAACATAGGCAAATGAGCTTCGACCATATCAGCTCCTAAGCACTGGCTTCGAGATACTCAACCTCAGAGCCAAACCTCACGAGGTGCTCGATCATCGCCATATAACGACTCGCAATCGAGGTTTTTTATTAAGCCATAGAAGAGTCAGGCAAACATTATTTCAAAAGTCCTTAACGAGCAAAAATTAAAGCCTATATTAGAGGTCGCATCGACCCAAGGTGTAAGAGCCATTATCGCAAGCCCACATAAAAGGTCGCATCGACCCAAGGCGTAAGAGCCATTATTGCCAGCCCACATAAAAGGTCGCATCGACCCAAGGTATAAGAGCCATTGTCGCCAGCCCACATAAAAGGTCGCATCGACCCAAGGCGTAAGAGCCATTGTCGCCAGCCCACACAAAAGGTCGCACCGACCCAACGCATAAGAGCCTAAGGGCCAGCCTGCAATTCAAAAACTTGAGGGTCGAATGAGCTCAAGTCTTAACCTGATTCAGAGACTGAACCCAAAATAGTTAACTAAATACGCCTAAGAGAAAATGCGTAAGAGCCATTGTCACTAGCAAAATTAAAGGTCGCACCGACCAAATGCGTAAGAGCCACTGTTACCAGTGCTAAGTCGTAGGTCACAGTAACCCAACATATACAAGACAGGTCTAACCCGAGAATACTCGGGGACCAACTTTCGAGCATCGCGGGCTGCTCAGCAATTGCTAAAACCCGAGGATATAACCCAAGGTCTAAGGTCTCGAATCGATTGCCAAAGGAATCACTTATTATTCTCAAAAGACAAAGGAGAAAAGAAATGATAAAAAACGAAAAGCCTATTATACATATGGCTCACAGAGGTATGTTTACAAGGCTTTTGAAAAATCCTTACAAAGAAGGGGCCAAACAGAACCTCAATCCATCATGAGCATGCATCTTTGATGGCTCCGTTGGAGGTTGTGCCCCAGCGGTTCCGGCTACCACCCTAGGTCCTTCGACGGCCTCTTCCCATCGGGGAATCCCGCTTCTATTCTCATTATCTTCTAAGCCTCTACCTGGTACATCTTCAGAAGCAAACAGGGCAGCAGTTCTTTCCTCTAGGGTCTTCACCCTCTCGAGCTCGGCAGAAAACTCGATATCCTTTGCATGAATGTCCTCTAGAGTTTGCCTCCGAGATTCTAACCAAGCATGCTCCACAGCTCGAGTCAATTTCAGTTCGGCCTCCTCAGTCAGTCTCCCGGCGGCACCCTCTTTGTGCACAGATATAAGTGCCTCAGCTTCGGTTTTGATCCCAGATAGTGCAACTACTAACTCAGAGTGGAGACCTATATATTTGTCACTATCTGCCCTCGCGTCTTGAAGCTGACGAATGACTGAGGCCATCTTTTCCTGAAGGGTATCCCTCTTAGAGGTTATCTCTCTCACATGCCGTTTGAGTTCGAGGACTTCAGAATCTCTGGCTTAGAGCCTCCCCCTCAGCAGGGCAGTTTCCTTCTCAAACTACGTGGATCAAATCCAGGATATTAAAACATTAGGATCCAGCAAACATTCAGACGATAGCAAAATGGAAGATACGTAACATGTTCAATAATATGAGCCTTCGTACACTCATGACGGGTTATCTCAGCCTGAAACTGGGTGAAAGTCTGGTTATAAAGTGCCTTGGCGTGAAGACATGAAAAAGACAAGTTAGAAGGATAAAGATCAGAGCGACAAAAATCAGAACGAAAGACAGGATCTACAAAAGCTACCTGCTCACAAAGCCTGCTCATCTCGTCGAAGACGAGTGAAGCATCAAGCTTGAGAATTCCCTCGGGAGCGGTTGAAGGCCTTTCGAGCACCTCTCTGTCTCCGATAGGCACCCCCGTATCGGAAGATTATTCATTTGGGACATCTTGCATTCCCTTAGGGGGTAAGGTCGTTCCCTGAAGGGAATCACTCACGACAACGGCACCAACAGGGTCAATAAGGGCCATCTCTTGTCTATAAAGGGCTCCAGAACTGGGCTCCTCTGAACCGCCTACCACCATTTCAAGGGGTATTTTGGCTATCGGCTAGCTCGGGGATATCGCCCGATGCCCCCTCAGTGGCCTCCTCATTCCGAAGTAGGACCACGATGACATCAAGCTCTGACTTAGGAGCCACCATATCTACGGCCTGGGGATCGATTAGGTTTACCCCTCCCTTGGGCGCTATCAAGAAATTATTTTCCCCCTCGCCTTCAACTCGGGGACTTCCAGCTGCTCCCGAAGTTGGGGTTACCGGGTCGGCCTTAGTTTCTTCCACCTTGAACTTCTTGAATTCCGAAGGTTCATTCGACGGTTCCCTTTGCCTTTTCTTCCCTTCTTCGGGTCCCAAAGTACTCTCTTCGCCAAGTGATGTTTCT